AGGGAAGACCAAGAGAGGGGGGGGGGGATGAGCCAGCCGAGAATGTAATTACCTGGAGCAGACGAGGCCGGCCGGGCTCCGGGCGGAGCTCTCGGAGCTGCTGCGGCGGGGCTGGGAGGCACCCAGGCACCCGCTCCTCTTCCTCCTCCTGCCACTCCTTCACCCACCAGGTCGGAGTTCACTCGGCACCCGCCGCTTCAAAAGGACCGCAGCTCCTTAATCCCACCACGTCGGCGCTGGTGGAGGTGGTTCCTCACTGCCGATGATGCCCCGCTTGCAAAGCGACGACGCCACTTCACTTCACACACACCGCACTTTGAACGTGGTTCATCGGCCCTCCCAGTAACAACAACAACAACAACAACAACAACACTATTTGACGCACACAATCACCGATCACCACCACTCTCGTTCGATGGTCGACTCCACTCGCGACCCCCCGCGCAAGCAGATCGCGACTCGCCGGCCGGGCGGGAGAGAGAGGGGCGTTGGGGTTCGCGTGACGACTCGCGGCGGCGGCGCGGCGCGATAGGCGGCGGGCGCGGAACAGACGACACGCTCGATGCGCTCGCTCCGACGGCTCGCCAGAGACTGAGCCCGACCCGGCTGGTCCGCGCCGCGGCGCCCCCCGGCCCGGCTCGGCTCCGCTTGGCCCGGCTCGCCGCCGGCGCCCAGCTGAGGAGGAGGCGAAACACCCCCTGCCGCTGCTGCACCCGGGCGACCCCCGCCCCCGCGTCCAGTCACCTCCCCGTGAACGACGAGCAGTGCGACAACGAGGTCCGACCGACACACAAAAGCTCGCTGTAAATACCAACCTAACTATTGCGCGCCGAAAAAATAGTCCCCACCTTCGTGATGAGGAAAAACCAAAATTAGCACAACACGGCGATAAATCGCAATCACCCAATGAATGGCTGTTGTTGTTCGTGGGGCACTGAACAGTTTGCTTTCAATTGTGAAGTACATTATTAACAAATTGACGAAAACTCTAGCTCCGCGCGCTGGGCGCCAACTGCAAACCACATTGAGACGACGCGCAGTGTTGCCGCTTCCGGTATGAGAAATAGAAGCGTCGACACTGTCGCGTGGACGTTATTACAACGTCGTCAACACGTTTCGTTCGCACGCGTGACCCCCTCGACGCAGTTATTCAGAGGTTGAATGACGCGCTGGCTGCGCTTCGTGATTCCCATTTAATTAATTTGTGGCGCGAAGGGAAGCGCCTCAGCAGGGCATTTTTCAAATCGCGGCGTGTGTGTGGGGGGG